ACCCCCCCCCCCCCCCCCCAACGTATCAGAAGCAATAACACTCCAGTGCTTTGGAAAGAGAAGGCATACTGGGCCAGTCCTTATAGTAGGCGCATTCGCCAACCTTCATTGTTGAGCAAAATTAACCAAAATGGTTAGTCGCTATACCACTAAAAATGCACCGATGGATGCCAATCGCGTGATCACTGCCTTCACAGATGGGCCTGGTGACCAATATGTCACCGATGCATAAAGACGGTTAACAAAAAAATTTTTGTTAGTACTCTGCTTGAAGAAAAAATTGTTATTACTAAGATGAAAAGTCAATTGTGCGATCCTTTAAAGAGGCAGGCATCAATTAACCACCCCTGACGAAAATAACATGCTAAAAAATAAACTCACCCCCTCCGTAATGAAGGTAATGAGATGAGGAACAAGAGGTTGTATGCCAGTGTCCACCAGAGCATTCTCGAGTGCATCCTTTCGTCGAGATTCATTAGCTCCAACAATTCCCTCCGTCAGCTCCCTAAAGAAGCCCATCATCTCGAGGCTAATCTCCGAAGGGTAACGCTGCAAAGAAAGACATGATTAGGTTTTGGAATGATAATCACAATATAAGACAATCCTGTAATACTTAAATCAAAACCATGGAAATTCCAAAACAATTACTGGTTCAGTGAGTTCGAGTATTCTAATGAACGTTCACCTCGTTTGCTAGCGAATCTACTATAGAAACAGCCACTTGAAGTCCAAAACGGATCTAATCCATTCGCAACTCTATGGGTTCAGTTTTACTCATCCATTTTTGAAAGCCAATTCATAACACATTACTGATTGGCAGGCACTCAGTATTTCAAAATTGCCATCTCTGACCTCAGAGAAGCGAGCACGGAACGTAACACATTTTAATAGCTCCTCTTTTAACTATATACTCCTTTCTTATTTACATGCACGATTATGGGAACTATCATATCGGCAGCATATTGGATTTAGTTAATTTCATAAAGAAAAATGAAAATGAGTGTAAGGAAACAAACGTCAATGTGAAGGGCATCCAAGAATGCTGCATTTCGTGTCCGCTCATCAACCCGTGCTTTATCATCTCCAGTTGCCTGGGAATCACCGCCAGCCTTGGGCAATAAGGTACCTGATATTTGACCAGGAGGAATGGATTTGTGCGTCTGAGTCCCGGCAATCATCTGCATTTTACTCAAAAAAGCTGGTGATGGGTTTTGGGGACAAGCCGGTTGGACGCCTTCGATTGAAAGCCAGTGTACTGCAGAAAACCAACCATTTAAACGACAATATCAAATATTCCAAAACAAGGCAATTTCGGAATCAAATTAACCTGAAAGGCTGACATCATAAATGACTGGATTAATTTGCCGCCGAAGAAGAGCTTGAACATCAACCTCCTCGTCCTTTTTTATCAGAAGGGTCTTATTTGGGGTACCGGGAACTGTACGTACATTATTTCTAATAGGAATTAATTCCCCAGAAGCCGCTCCATAAGGAACTTCCAAACCCATTGCAATAGCTGCTGATTCAATGTCTGAAAGATGAGGTGCACCACGACGATTTTGTTCCATGAATCGAATAGTTCTTTGAACGAGAGCCGTGGTAACAAAATGAATATGTTTTTGCAGACGTGCAATTCCATCTGGATGAAGGGAAGTGACAGCATTTATTTCGGCACAAGTTTTGAAAAATTCATCTGGAAACTCAGCACTTTTGAAAAATCCTGGTCGAAGTGAATTAGACGCAGGGGTGTTCGCATGTTTAATATTTTTTGAAAGAGTTTTAGCTGCAAGTCTGTTAATAGTGCGCTTTTTTATAGCCCCAGAGCCAGAAACTCTCCGAGAAAGACGATTAAGCTTTTTCCGTTCATCGTTAAACATTTTTCAACTAATATAAAAAAGGCTCGAGAGGTGAACACGGACCCTTCCCGTGAGAATGAATTGAACTGCGCAGTTAAAATCAAGAATTTAAACACATAAAGCAATAATCAATTTCACGGGAAAATACCACTTTACTCGATTCAAAAAGATGTCATTTTATAATGAAATAATGTTTTATTAAAGTTTTCAAAAGCCTCCTGTAAATTAGAATTATATGATAAGTTTAATGTAAGTTAATTTGAGACCAGTGTACATAGGAAGAAGGAAAAGTTACCACGAAATTTAACTAATTAAACTCCCTAATTGAAAATGCTTACCATTTTTTAAGTTAAAGACGTATTTTTTATTTACGTAACAAATTTAACAGTTATCAGAAGGACGGATATGTTGCAATTCAGTTATTTAATATTAAGGGGAGGAACGATAATAATTATGGTCTAGAGCGACCGACAAATCAGATGGATTTTAAAATCTATGAATACTTGTAAAGAATAAATAACAAGCAATTCAAATTTTACCATAGTTTTTCCAGAAAAGCTATTTAAGTTGGCCAGTGTTTAAGAATTATTAACAAATCTATGCATTCGCAATTCCGAATCATTTCCAATATTAATAGTCAGCATCTCAATTAAATGAAATTACAAATCATTCATTTTGACAGAACAGTTTTGCGGCTGACAAGATTTTCGTTTTAATATATCCGGAGCAATAGTAATTTTAGTCAAACTGTGAAGAGCAACTGAAATTAGTAAATAATTACTCCACTGAAGTATGTTCTCCTTATACTATTTTTTAACTAACGACAAACTTTAATCTTTCTAATAATTTAATATGACTTAAGCTAATCTGTTTATGATTCATAATGGCCTGCATCTTTCCACCAAGAATATCTTCTGGTATACTAGAAAGAAAATCTTCTTTGCCACCTCAATCATTTCAATTTGTTGATGTCACCACACAATAAATGATTTCGGTGTTGGTAAGTTGTGCAAATACTTGATTACCCGTTGTTTCAATGACTTCGGCAAAGGATCCTACTCGCTAGTCATTCATTTATTGACCGATGTACAAATATATGTACCTAGTCTACATTTTTCTACATTTATAATAAGAAAATATGTGCTTAATATGAAATCAAATGATTTTAATTACTTACTTCATTTTAATATGAAAAATACGACATTTTGTATGAAAGCAAAGTCCGATGTTAGATATCAATAAGTAAACTTGAAGAATTTGAACAACTTGAAGAATTTTTTGTTGAGCAAATTCAAATATGATTGCTTTCTTATATTGGTTATCCTTTGTAGCGAATGCTGCACAAAAAAGTTTTGATTAAACCTTACAAATCACTATTGCACAGTATAGCTAGTATGAACGTGTTCCTAAAATTGGTTAGGCTGCTTCAATAATATCTTGGAGGCGGAGAGTATGGTGAGCATAAATTTTGCACTATCTGTTTGGTTGGGAAGTATTTGCTTTCCCGAAATCACTTGATCCCTAACCGAAACAGCTGCTGGGCGCATGTACACGTACGAATTCATGTCTTTGTCGTGCCCTGAACAAGTTACAGTGAAAGCAATTTTATTTTCCACAAATTTGCTTATTAATAGGCTTACAAATATATTTTACATAGCAAGCCGCTGAGGATATGGAAGCCATTACCTAATTTGCTGAAACCGATAATTTTGCTTCAAACTAATAGAGCCATTAACCGTTTGCTAAATTACTTGCCTGCGAGAGTAATAAATGATTCGATTATAGGCGTATAAACATTTCAGAAATTATGTGTCCACAATCTTAATAATAAATATATTCTAAACCATTATTGTTATGAAAATCTTTAGAAGGTTGTTTGGACGTTTTTTGATAAAATGATAGGTTGAATTGAGAAGAATTTTTAAAAAGTTAAACAAGCCTTCATACTGATTTATTAGCACAAATATTCTTAAAGAGCAAAATAAAGCAACAGTAAAATTGCTAAAAGTGAATCGAGAATTTGAAATGAAACAAAAAATGGGATTAGACTTGTTAAATAAATATGATTCAGAAAAAGATGTAACCCAATTGACTGAAAGAAACCCATGAACTAAAATTTCGCAATACAGCAATGCCAATTAACTACGTTAGAGTATCATCTGGAATTTTAAAAATAAACAGTTGATATATTGTCGTTTATAATAGTAATTAGGAGAATTCGTTTAATAAAAACAAGTAGACTTACCTTTTCCGTTATTATCAAGTTATTGCGGCAGTTTAAATTTCACAAAGCCTTTTAAAATACATTTTTATTTCCATAACGCCCAGTAGCTTATGAAATTTTAGATGGGTAATTGAAGATATTTTTTGTTAGTTATTATCTTGTGCTAAGCGCCTATTTTGCTTACTGCTATTCATAATTTGGAAGTTTTCATGCTTTCTGAAACAAAAATTATGAGTGAGTGTGAAACCATCTGCCTTTTATCGCTTTCAAACTCGTATAAAATATTTAATATTACAATAGCATCACCTGAAGCTTAAAATACCTTGTATTTTGTTTGATCTCGTCTTATCACTTTTCATAGTTTGGTCTACTCTGTTTTCTTAACATGCAAGTTTCTTACTTGTCCTACTGTACGCTTGGATTTTGTAGGATGTTATTATTCTATGATATTTTTTATTGGATATCATGTGCATATTTTACTTTCTTTTATTATAGATGATTGGAATAATTGGAAGATTTCCATCGAGGATCGACTCAAACACGACGATCGATTTCAGTTCCTACGTCCTTTAAATGGCTTTATTACCGGAGAACAGGCTCGCGATTTCTTCACCCAATCCAAACTTCCCACTCACGTTTTGGCGAAAATTTGGTCACTTGCGGATCTCACTTCAGATGGACAATTAGATAAAAAGGAATTTTCCATTGCTATGTACTTGATCAAAAAGTGTTTAGAGGGGAATTGTCTTCCCTTACAACTCCCTCCAACATTACTACTTGAACCGCAATACCACATTCCATCGCTTTCATTAGATCCGTTATCCCCCCAGGGTTCTCTTAAATCAAACAACGATAATAGAGCTTCAAAATTTGAGGACAATTCTAATGATTGGAGTATTTCTTCCGCTCTTCGTCCTAAATACAAGCTTCAATTCAACCAAAATGACCGGAATAAGCGCGGTTATCTAACTGGAGTTGAAGCTCGAGGAATATTTCTTAAATCCAATCTACCTCAACCCCAGCTGGCTGCGATTTGGAACTTAGCGGATGTTGACAAAGATGGAAATCTTACCTGTGAAGAGTTTTGTATCGCTGCTTATCTTATCGATCAGGTTCTAGCGGGTAGAAAACTTCCAGCTGCTCTTCCTTCCACTCTTATGCCCTCATCCCTTGTAGGTTACCTTTAATATCGGTTTTAATTGCTCTTATAAATAGGTTTTACAGGCAGATCGACTTAAGTCACACCCTTCTGATGCGGATGAAAAGGTAGAGTTCGAAGATCGAATCACGTTTGAAGATAAAAGGATGCAAAATTTCCTTCTTGGACAGGCTGAATTGGATAAGAGAAAACAGGATTTGGCTGAGCAAATGCGTCAGGAGGAAGAACAGAGGCGGGAAGAAGCCCGTCTTGAATTGGAAAAGCGGGAGAAATTTCGGTGAGCGTTTTATTTCTATTGCACACATATATATTCGCGTGTTTTCAATTTCACCTGTAACGAAATCAACACGGCTTGTTTGTGTGAGTACCTATTGATTTCACGTATTAGTTTGCTTTCACATTTACTGAAATGGGGCATGTTTTTAGTAGTTAGGATATGTGATAGATCTGCCTTTGATTGCATACTTCCTATTTGCTTCCTTTGTCTTCATTTGTTTTCACCGGAAGAGCAGTCAGTCAGTATTAGTTGGTTTATTGTTGGTGTTTTGAAAGACGTGCTTTAAATATCTGTTAATTATATCAACTAAATTGCGAGATCAATGTCGTTATGAGCGATTATAAGTTTTCTAGTTTCTCTTGCTACCAAAAATTAAAAATGATGAAGTGACCTAACGCAGTTGATTGATCACACTTGGATAGTCCTTTGGTGTATTGTATAACGAATCGTGTCACTCAAATACTTCTTTCTAATTAGGTTAGAATGGGAAACTTGCCCTTATTTCACCTTGGTTAATCATAGACGATTTCAATCTTTCATGTCAAATAGGTATGGTGTGTCAATCCACTATCATAAGCGAAATCGTATTATGTGAAGACGCTTAATTGAATTAGCGCGCAATAATGAAACTGTTTTATTTTATGAATAGGGAGGAAGATGGCTTTTTCCACTTCCCAAAAGTTACCTCCTTTTCTTGCCCGAAATTTGATCGATTGCTGTTATTATTTTGTTTATTATGACTGTTGGTGTTTGAGTGGTCAGATTTCCTGGTTAGATCATATTAATCGTCAGAGGCATAGAATCACTCATGACGTCACAGTCGAACACGTTAACTACCGCCCCACTACTAATGGCCATCTTCACCTTGACTCCTTGTTTATGTTAGCGCTATTATATCTCACGGCTTCCATGGGATATATCGCTTACCTTTAAACTCTTGTGTCGTAATTTATCCAGATTGTTGACTGTTGAATAAAAAGTACACTAGATTCGGATTCATTAGTTTGGCAGCCTAAAATAGTTCTCTTTAAAGGAAGTATGAAGTTGGAACTGCGGGAGTTTATAAAATTCACTTCTTGTACATGTGGCATCTGTGATAACATTTTTTTTGTCGATTTACACTCGGTAGACAAGAGAAGGAGCGCGAGCGCCAACGTCAGTTAGAAGCGGAGGCGGAGAAAGCACGTGCTATTGAAGCGCGTCGTCAAGACTCTGCCACAGCGCGTCTTAATTCCCAACGAGAAGAACTCCGTCGACGTGCTGCCGAAGCTGAGGCCTCACGAGTGGCGGCACTTGCTCGAGAACTCGCGCAGGAGACAGCCGCTCTTGAGAATGCCCGAGCTCAGGTAAGCCCGCTTTCTTCTCCACATATTTTTATGGAAATTGGTGTGAATGGCATATTTTTTTATTTCTCTTTAGGTGGCCAAGAGAGCTACTTTAGCGCAACACTTAGCCCAAGCACAGGCTGAAGTGAATGCCAAAAAGGCAGTGATCACGGGGCTTGCAGGCGAGAGAGTTGTCGTGGAGAGGGAGTGCAAGGATTTAGCTGAGCGCTTGGAGGCTGCGAAAGAGGAGCTGAATCGTTGGCAAAAGGAGCAGGAACAAATCCAACGCCAACTAGCACCTCCACCAACTGTTGTTGTGGACATTACTAACACTACGGAGCAACAGAAGACTCTTCGTTCTAATCTTAAGGTAATAATTAAATTCGCTCTTATTGTCTGGATTTGACTCTTTAAATAATTTTCTCACTTGCGTATGAGTGACCAACTAATTCCAATTGATGGGGGCTCATTATGCGAATATTAGATGTCTATACTGCGTCTCCCCTCTATGTAATTATAGCAAGTGCAGGAAAGCAAGCGTCAATTGGAGGCCCAGTTGAGCGAACTGGAGACGGAGGTTCTTCGTGGAGGTCAACGACTAGCAAGTCATCGCCACACGGCTGAAGAGTTGGCTAAGAAGCGATCACAACTAGCCACGGAAGTCAATGCTCTTCTCGCCACCCTCCTCGAACGACGACACACCTTCCATCGCCAAAAGCAACAACGCATCAAAGAGGACCAACAGCAGAATTTATTCGACACCGCTGCTGCTACCAAACAGAATGATATTGATGCTGTCAATGCTATCACTAGGTGAGTTCATTGTTTTTATGATTGTGTAATACTTGCGATCATCAATCCAACTTAATAAATGGTAATTTAGAATCACATGGAATGAAAAAGTCAGATTAATTTATTCACTGTCATTCAGGGAGATTTCCTAATTGCAGAGATTACATAAAGCCGTATGTTCTTCAAGCATTGTTAAATATGCTTTATCAATCATGCCCCTACTTAAGGGTTGAAGGTAGTTTTCGATGCCAGTGATCTTTATTTATTGGCTACTATATTCCTAAAATAATTATGAGGACAATGGTGGTAATACAATGTGGCCAAGATAAAATAGGCCTCTTGACTTATATCACTAAAAGTGATGTTGAGTATACTTCCACGGGGTCACGAAATATTCTGCCTCATTTTGCTTTCCGTTTTGCCAACTTCAACGGATCTTATTGATCAAACTTGCTCGAATGATATCGTCCAGGATATTCAGTTGTTCATGCAAAGTGATCAGCTAATGACTTTTGAGAGTAAAAGATTGTAGGAGTTATTGTTATAAAATGAGAGAATATTCGCATGGTCCCCACTTAACTGGAGTTGCTGTGACAAGAACTGAGGTCACCAATTTAGGAGCTGCCGAATTGCAGGAATTGTTGACGGACCAGAGCCAGATCGTAGAAGTCAACACTGTGACGGGACAGCTAACAATAGCATACAACAATCCCAAAAAACAAGAACACAAAGGGTAATGTAGACCAAATTGAAGTGAATAAACTACCAATAGCAATCGGGGGGGGGGGGGGGGGGAGGGAGAATGCGTTAAGAGAGTGACGAGTGAGAAGTGAAAGTGCACGAGGCGATTAGTGTGCCTGAGTGCAATGAATTAGGCAGCTTGTCACATGTACAAGAGCACCCATGAAGACAGGAGTGGAGAAGGCCTTTTAACTGAAACGAGAGAGTTTTAGAAAGAGAGAGGAGAATCGATAAAGTCGTCTAGACATAACTACTGTGGGGCAATAAATTTTGAAAAATGTGCCGAGATTCTTCCTTAAACTGCATAAGAAAGTAGAGAAAATGCTATATATTTAAAGGGTGCAATAATTCAATTGGGCGATATTGTTGTTCAAGTGGAAGAATGAAGGTGCCGAACAATGGGCTGGAACAAATGAATTGATGTGAGGAATAGCAACTATTGTGTTTTAATTCGTGAGGGGTCATTTTGCTTCATTTTTAATTTGCTTAGCACTGCGTTGGACGCCGGACCGTCCGAGATGTACAGGGCGCTCTATGCATACAGCGCAACTCGATCGGACGAATTGACTTTTGTTGAACGGGACAAGATTCAGGTAAATTATATTTATTTATTTTATATTAAATGGCAGGCGTTTTAATGGCTATCATTAGCCCTTTAGTTGACTTCAGGCTTCACAGAGGGGAAGAGGAACATTAAAGTGAAATGGTCTTGTGCTAGAGGATGTCTTTAAAACCTATTATAATGCCCCCTAAAAGTAGAGTTAACAGGTAGTCAAAGAAATTTTCAAATGTTCGGATACAAAATTTATTTTCATATTTTAATTATTAAAATTTTTTATCATCTGTTCTAACACGCTATCTCCAGTGATTGCTTTGGTACCAGCTTGGAGAAAGAAATCTACGAAGGGCTCATCTCCCTTATCAAAACATGCTATCCTGGTTGTATGAAAATGATTTAGCGGCAATGAATGGCTCTCTAGTTAACCACTGATACAACAAATACTGGTGCCTGAAGCACGAACTCTACTCGGAAATTTTTAATTTCAAATCAGTGTTCCGAAGTGGCAGTTTATTATTGGGTTGGCAACTAAGTCATTGCCGTTTTTGTTGACGGATTCACTCTATACTTTCTTTTGTTTTGTTAACGTGGCCAGACCATCTAACCTATATTTTTTTCTTACTGTATGGGCTTCTAGGTTAATTAGTAGAACTTTTTTTTGTTTAGTTCTTTAATTTTGTTTTTATCCCAATTTAAAAATGAAAGAACAGGACGTGCACTTCCGACACATTTTATTGTATTACTTCCGAAAAGGCAAGAACGCATCGCAAGCACAAAAGAAGTTATGTGCCGTATATGGAGATGAAGCCTTAAAAGAAAGGCAGTGTCGAAATTGGTTTGAAAGATTTCGTTCCGGTGATTTTTCACTGAAAAATTCACAACGATCTGGCCGCCCAGTCGAAGTGGATGAAACCCATATCAAGGCAGAGAAGCTCAATGTGTCACATACATGCATTGAAAAAAAAAATTAAAAACCCTTGGTTATGTCAAGAAACTTGATTTATGGATCCCTCACCAGTTAAAGGAAATTCATTTGACGCAACGGATTAGCATCTGTGATTCGCCGCTACTGAAACGCAATGAGAATGATCCATTTCTGAAGAACCTAGTTACTGGCGACGAAAAGTGGATAGTCTGTCAACAATGTTACTCGCAAGAGATCATGGGTGAAGCAAGATCAACCAGCCCAAACAGTATCAAAAGCAGAGATTCACCAAAAAAGATTATGCTGTCAGTCTGGTGGGATCACAAAGGGATTTTGTATTTTGAACTCATGCCGCAGAACCAAACGATAAATTCAAATGTGTATGTTGAAGAACTCGAAAAACTGAAGAATGCAATTGAAGATAAGCGGCCGGCATTATCAAATCGGAAGGGTGTTGTTTTCCATCATGATAACCCAAGATCCCACACATCCTTGGTTACTCGGCAAAAATTATTGGAACTGGGTTGGGATGTTTTGTCACACCCACTATATTGCCCTGACCTTGCGCCTTCGGATTACCATTTGTTTCGTTCCATGCAAAACTCTTTAAATGGTAAAATNTAAAGGGGGGGGGGGGGGAGTTGTTCTTAAACTGCACTGCAACTGTCAATTCAATAATTGCTTCATTATCATTGCTAAACCTTGTTCTCCTCTATCGGCATTCACTAGATATTCATTAGTCCACCGTTTGAAGTATGTGAGGGATGGTTGTACGGCGAGATGGGTGGAAAACGCGGTCTTGTGCCGGCCTGCTATGTGAAGAAATCCTCTCCAGAGGATGAAATAACTCAACCCGCAGCCACCGTCGATCCCTTTGCTCTTCCAGCTTCTGCTATCTCATCTACCGCCAATTCCGCTTCAATAAATCCTTTCCCCGCTTTCAGTGGTCCTCCAAATCAATCTAATTCTCTGTAAGTTTCGCATAATTTGAATGGGCATTTATCTTCCATAATTACTTAAAAAAACATTTTGTACGCTTAGGAATTCTCAGTCTATTTTATGTCTCCAAATAACATGTATATGTACAAATTTTTTCCAACACTTTTAGGCAACTGGCGGATGATATTTCAGCAACCTTTAGTGGAGAAAAGCCGCTTTTCACTTGTATAGCACTGTACAACTATGAGACGAACATTCCTGGTGATTTGAGCTTACAGGTTAATGACAAAGTGGAAGTATTTGTGGATAATAATGGATGGTATGAGGGGGTGTCTCAGCGCACTAGACAACGTGGTCTATTCCCGGCTAACCATGTGCAGAAGCTACAATCTGATGTAAGTTACCAACTTCTTTTTATAAATAGTTATAGTAAATCAATCGCGCACCCCATGATAAAAAATTCATTGTTTATTTGTGCTGAGCGCACTCACACTGCTATTTCTGTGTCTGCTATAACGTCCACAAGTTGTTAGTTCCCCCCCCCCCCCCAAATCCTACTCTGATCTCACTTACCAGAAATATAGTGGCGTAGTTGCCTTTTACCTTTCGACTGTTGAAATGACAGAGCCATTAGCATACCTTCTTAGTGAAATTAACTGGACTTAATACAACCATTGTCTGGTCTTGAAATGACTCACCTTTGGTTCTTTTACTCTCGCGAATTACTGTGAATTCAATTTATTATTTTATTTAATCCAGAACGGTATTATGTATGCATTGAAAAACATCGTTTATCACTCGGCATTTAGGGCTTTTCTTGAATCAATTTCAGAATGAAACTACCAATACGAGTAGCTCAACCGGCCAAGTTTCAGCTTTTCCCGATGCAGGAAGTTTGGAAAAGAGTGCTTCCAAAGTGACTCCTACACCACCACTACAGTCCACCACACCGCCCCCTGCTTTTGCCCAGGGCAAAGTGGAGGAAGAGGCGAATAAAGAGACTGTTGACGCCACAGATGGTGACCGGAGAGAAGCTGATTCCGCCGTGATTACTGTCTGCGAAACTCCCGAGTTAGCTGTGGTGATAACACCATTTACGGCAAAAAGTTGTGAACAACTCTCCCTCACAGTCGGCCAGTACGTCAAGATTCGTGCTAAGTCGTCGAAAGGTTGGTGGGAAGGCGAAACACAGGTATGTCCTTCCTCCAACTTGCAGTATCCATATCGCGTTCTCTTAGATTATGCGTAGTGCACTATGGAACATCGTCTTTTTTGCATTATTCCTACATTTTAGCGACCTCACTCTTCTCCGGCTTACTAGAACCTACCCATCTCTCTCTCTCCCTGTTATTCTTTTCCTTTTCTTAGTCATGTGACTGAATCTATTTTTTTCTTCGTTTCGATTAAATTCCATCTTCCCATTGGAACATGCTTCCATGCTTCTTCGTTTCTTTATTTCTATTCAACATTTGATTGGTAGCCTTTCAGTTTTTTTTGCATGGTCGCCTACTTATTTGCCCAATTTTGAATAAAGCTGTTACGTATTTAAATAACCGCGTTTTCTTTCTTCTTTTTAGCAACGTGGCCAGGATCGACGAATAGGTTGGTTCCCGGCTGATTATGCTCGTCTTGTTAGTGCGAATAACTCAACAGGTTAGTTGGAACTATTTCTATGCGTTAATTTTGGTCGCATTATTACTTTCTCAACGATTTTCCGACCTTAGGTCTGCTTAGACTTGTGAATTGGAGATGACATAAGCTAATTTGACTGCCCACACTCCTTAAAGTGTAAAAACATGCCACCTAAATGTGAGTACTCAACTGATAATAGGGCAAAGGAGGTCATATAAAAGTGGTAATCCGAATGAGCTAGGCTTTTGGCTGCGTCATCATTCTAAAGGCATGGTATGTCCCTTTTCGAAGCAGTGTTGCGTTGTACTACTGGTGTGAGGAATGGTAGAGGAGAGAGTGAGAGGGGGGGTGCGTTGTAAGTACACAAAGCTTGAAATAGGTGTGTTTGATTGTACTCCTAATTCACTTTGCTTTATCTTACGCGCATTCTAGACCTCGATCTAATAGTTAGATCAAGCTAATCTATATTGGTCGACGTGTGCGTACTACAAGTCTGTCTGCGTTCACTAGCTTATTAGGCATTAAGTATACATTGTCCATTGTACATGCGACCAGTTTCAAATTGAATGAATAGCAAAACTGTTAAATGGCGACACGAACGGTTTCCTTATTAGACATATACTGGCTTTAATTTCAAATATGCTCTATTTTTGCTGATAGAAAGCCAACCAGCTGCGGGTAGTAAAGAAGCCTCAGAAGAACCTCCTCTTGTGATTAAAGAATCCACTGCTGAGCATGTAGAATCTCTTACACCTCAAACATCAGAACCATTGACAAGTGCAGAAGCTAAAATCGAAGAATTTCAAACGCCTGCAGCAAAAGGTACAGAAAATTCTACTTCAACTGTAGCCTCATCGGACCTTGCGTCAGCGACCGTGGTACAATCAATGTTCGCCTACAAGGCCTGCCAACCCGATGAAATGACTTTTCCTGAAGGAGCTCTTATTGTCGTCCTTGCCCACGAAGAGGAGGGTTGGTGGAGGGGACGAATTAATTCAACAGGAGTTGAAGGTCTTTTCCCTGTTAATTACGTTAAACCCTACCATACTACAAGTGAATCTTCCGCTCCCCACTCAGCTACTTCGGCCTTAAAACCCTGTGAGTTCCAAATTTAAGTAGTATTTAAGTAATATGTGTACTCTTAGTTATCATTTTCTACTGCAATATCCTGGTAAGGTAAGTGATGTTCGTTATGAACCGGTCTAATCTAACCCCCTTTCACTATGCCACTCGCTTTATGGCTTTAATAAAATGGGGTGCGTCTTTTAAATTCTCAATGGTTCGTATTTTCTTTTCTTCGCTCTCTGCGAAACCAACAAATCAACCCATCCAACCAACCAATCCCGATGTACTGCCTAACTTTGAAACGGTGCGTTTTCTGTGTGTTACATCGTGTTGTGTTTGCTTTGAACGTTTGATTGATTGATTGATTGGGGTGCATGCAGAATGAAAATCGTCTTGCTTATACGAGTCTTCTTCACCTCCATCTCCCCCCCCCCCCTCCTTTCCTGTCTTCATTTCTTGATTTTACTCTACTACTAACATATTGTTACTAATAAAATTTTAAAAAAAGTATTCTGAAAAAAATATGAATTTGGTTTCTGTGTTTGCCTTATACGTGCCTTTTCTTTCACTGGGACTCTTTCACTTTACACGAAAGTTTTTTTTATAACCGTTACACTTGCTAAGTTATTGAAGAATGTGGAAAGTGTTCCGTGAAGTGCTATCGAGTTCTCCCCATTTTCGTTTCTCTCATGTTGAATTTCACAAAAAATACCATTTATTTCTCAGCCGATTGGAATAGAGCTCTCTGTTAATCTATCTAAAGGTATAAATAACTTTAGCAGCCTTTAAACACTCCCCCTCTTTTGTACGCTAAAGAAATATGATAATCAATGAAAGAAAACATATCTACAACTACAAGAGAAGGCATGGTCTGAAATCTTAATTTCTACGTGATTAAGAGTGACGTGCTGCATTTTTCGAAATTACTCCTTATTCCCTTTACATGTGGAAATGCATTGATGTCGCTATTGCTCATCGTCGACTATCATGTCTGAACGACTTTCTCCATTCTCCTCTCTCTCTCTCTTTCTGTAACTCACTCCGCTCCTAGCCGCATGGGTGCTTTTGTATGTATGACCAAGCTGTGTCTACTTCATTGCACTCAGGCACACTAATCGCCTCGTGCACACGCAGGGGTGTTTTTTGTGCTTGGTCTGGGGGGGGGGGGGGGGGGGGGAGTTTCCTTAAGTAGGCTTATGCGTTTTATTTGTGCCGGGGCTATTTTATTGCGAAAAAATAGTGAGTAAAATGGAAAAGCATATGTCTTTTAAAGTTACATCTTGGCGTGTAGAGCCTTCTCAATTTTGTTTAATTTCACTATCTCTCTCTTTTTCTTCGACATAGTGAGTCAGGGGTATCGGAGGTAGCACTATATCTATCGATTCATTGTAAGGTTATTGGGGGGGGG